ACACACAGTGTAGTTATTTTGTTATATTTTGTGTGTGTGTGTGTGTGTGTGTGTGTGTGTGTGTGTGTGTGTCTTTGCACAAAGGCCAGAAGAAAGTCTTGGATCCTTTGGATCTGCCCGAGGTGGGTGCTGGGAACCTTGGGACCCCTGGAATACCAGTGAACTTTCTTTACTGCTGCTCTGACATCTTTTCTTCCTCTGGTGTCTTATTTTCAGAGGATAGGTTTTTTTTTTTGACCCAAGTGTAACCTTTTTAAACAAATCACTATGAAAAGGTATTTGCAGAAATAAAACACAAATCAGAATTTTTACTGTTCTAACTATATGTAGTCTGAGAAACGGGGCAAAGGGGGGACAAAACAAAATAAAAAACAATGTGTTAAAAGCTGGAGGAGTGTGGACCGCGGCACACACTGTCTAGGATCTCCATGGAGCTTTATTATCTGCTACCCTCAAGGCTAATGTGCTTCATAGAGTCTGCAGGGCCACTGGCCGCTCCAAACATGGCACCTGTGTCCAGTTCCTTCTGGAGGCAAGCAGCACATGAACGGCGACCAATGTACAGATGAAACTGAGGCAGGGACCTGAGGTCCATGAAATCCCACCTCTACTCTACCATTTGTAGTTACTTGCTGGAAGGTTCCCTCTGCCTCCTTCTAGGACTTCTGGTCTCTGAAGCCAGAGACAAGGAACCAAGTTTACTGATACCACCGGCCTGCCCCATGCATGAGACAGGCAAGGGACATAAAACAAGATCCAGGGTGTAGATCCAGAGTGACAGTAGAACTCTGTCCCCTGCCCACTGAGCAGTGACAGTCTCCAGGTCTCTGTTACTGGCAGCTGCTCTGTCTGCTGAGCTATCTAGCACTCATCCCCGACGTGTGTCTTCATCCATGGTAAGCTGGGCTTTGAGGGCCAGCTCCTAGCAGCAGTGTGGCATAGGCAAAGGGTCCCCTGTCTCCTGAAAGAGTGAGCTCCCCCATCCCCTTCATGGGCCATAAGCTGGTTCAGAGAGTATGCACTTACCTGGGCAGGCTTGATCACCACAGTGTTCCCAGCAGCCAAGCAGGCTGCTGTCTTCCAGGATAGCATCATTAGGGGATAGTTCCAGGGAATGACAATGCCACAGACCCTGCAAACAAAAGCAGAGGGTCTTTGTCCCTCCTCAGCTGTCACTGTCACAGCCAGGATTTCCAGGAAAGGCGATGGTCCTGCTGAGGCAGCCTGTCCCACAGATGCTGCATCATGGACTGACCTGGGTGGAGGTCAGTGTCTGAGGGAGCTGTCTAGGGAGGAAGGGAAGCAAGGGGCAGGCACAGTGAGCAGACACCAGTGTTCACTCAGGCTAGGAGGCCGTGAGAGGGTCATGGGTCACAAGATGTGTCAGCAGGACCTGGGTTCTTATAAGTATCAGGCTGGAGATCCATCCTGAAGGAGGAAAAGATGGGGACTGTATGGAAAGCCTGGTGAGGTCAGTCACCCATGGGGACCTCTGGCTTGGTGTGCGAGCCTCACACTCAGATCAGTGGTAGCATAGACTGGGGGACGGGGCGAGGTCTGTTGGTCTGTGGCCACAGCTTAATCCTGTGTGGCTCTGCCTCCCTTGGCTCCTGTGTCGACATCACTGCCATCAGGGGACCAGAAAGGATGCTTCTTAATTGGACCTGGGTATTGAGAAAGCATACACAGAGGCCAGTGGGCAGGATGGCTGTGAGGCGTCTGAAGGGAGGCTGGTGAGTGTCAGCCAGAGCCTTCATGGAGCAGGGACAACTGAGAGCCTACACATCCCCCTGGGAGTGATAGAACACACTGGGGGTCAGGAGGCTGCATCCTTTCTTCCAACATACACCCGGCATAATAGAGAGTCTAGGTGGGTACCAGAGAGCAGAACCTCAGGCTGCTGGATAGTGGCCATAGGGAGAAGTGGGGCTTTAGGGGATCCAAAGAAGGGAAATGCCAAAGGAGTCCCCCTGTTATAGGGTGAATTGTGTCCCTCTCCACAAACCCACACACCCAGAATCACAAAGGGAATGTGACATGGCCATGGAGACAGAAGTCAGGGTGACAGCTCTGTAAGAA